GGACAAATTTTGATGAGGGTTTCCCATGGCAAGATGAGGATCTATGGAAAACCATGGTTTTCCAAAAAAAACCATGGAAGCCCTCTTGAAAAAATTTTTCCTCGAAGACGTGTCTCCTTATTTTAGGTGCTCTATCTGTGGTAAAAATTTCAATCCGATCGGTTGAACCGTCTTTGAGATCTAAAAATCATGAAAAAGAGGGGGGGGGTACCCTTAATTGAAAAAAGTTTTTTGCACAAATGTTAATTATCAATATTGAAATCAATTAAATTATTTTTCTATTTTATTAAAAAAATAGAAACACACGTTTGATGACGAATTTTTTAACCTAAAGACAATTCTTTTCAATAGTCTATTGAAATTTACATTTTAAAAAAGGATTTTTCAGCATTCATCCAACATATTCATTTCTGCAAATTAGAAATTTCGCTTTTACTTTCTGCTTACGAAAAAGAAAATGAAAGATATTGACTAGTTTAGAAGTTACAAAAAAAATGAATCGATATTTTTAATGATTTATATAAACGAGAAGTGATCATTCTAATGATGATAATGAATATATAAGAGGTTTTTATCGTCTTATTTATGGTCGATGTTCGGCAGGTCAATGCACTGTTTGTATAGAACATTCGAGTGAATAGAAGCATGAAAGCGTAATGCTGTTTTTTTCTTTCGTGATGAAATGTTGAAAAATCTTTAAGTCGAACGATCGAATCAATTGAGCATGTTGCCCAAAATAAATTGATTAGATTTATTCATAAATTATATTACTAGTACTGTTTATCTCTGTTCAAAAAGAAATAGTTTAGATTCTTAATTAAAAATTATTCTTATTAGAAATAATCTCGCAAAATATGTATTTAAGACCTCCTCCTCAGAAACGATTTTCCATTTTTGAGAGTCGTTTCATACTGAAATTTTCAGGGATAACTGATCTTAACTTTTGTCCGAACAGAATTTTTATATTCTACCCTATTTATTTTTTAGGAGCGTTTTAGCGCGAGGATCTTAAAATCAGTTCAGGAACTAACTTTACCCTGTTCGAAATCTTTAAACGTGAAAGATGCAGTAAAATTAAAGGCATCTGACATACTAGTTAATATTAAAATGTTCTATTCCATCATAGTTCAAGTAGCAACGGAATTTTTTGCAAAACGCAAATTTAAGTCTAATCTGAGAAGTCTTTTGAAAATCGGGCCATTCTCAAAAACCTATGTATATATTGAAAGAGAAAGTTTCGCTCTATCTTTCTGTGGTAAAACTCATTTTCGATATTGTTTGAGGAGAAGGGGGGCTTATATAAATATCATTTTTTTGATGTATTTAGTCATTGTGTTAGATAAAAAGTAAAAATCTTGAGAATTAAATCAAATGAATAGTTTCCCGAACGTTTATTTAAACAAAATTAGAAACATGTAACAATTGAATAGTTTATTGTAAATTGACATTTTTACTTGAAAAACCGCAATCAAATATGTTATTATCCTCAGCATGCATATCCGAATGAATTGGATTATTTAGGACAAAATAGTAAAAATATATCACAAGACCTTTATCAGTAAAACGATATCTTTTTTAAATATGTATATGACACAGAGTGTAAAAAAATGTTTATCATATGTCAACAAGAGTACTTAAACACGAAGAATAAATATTTTTTCTTTTGGATTTATACCCTGGGAAAAAATAATGGCAGCATGTATTGTCATAATGAAAAAGTGATAATACATTCTGAAAGCCTTTGCAATCTTCTATCATCCTATATATTTATGTTTTAGTTTATATCTATATATAATTAAGTACAATGAACGCATCCTCATCATCCAATTTCCACAGACTAAATTTTTTCAGTGTGATCAGAATAAGTTTTTCTTTTGAAAAAGCAATTGATAGTACTTGAAATTTTCATAGATTTGTCTATTGTCTTGCCATTGTTTTTAGTAGGTTTCTTTGTTTTTCTCCTTTCATTTTAGAACGAGGAGATTTTTGAATAAAAAAAGTATAGAATTGTTCATTATGACAATATAGGGTACAATTATTTTTTCCGTCGGGTATATATAATCAAGATATTTATTATTCATATTTGTTCAATAATTTGATTAGTTATTTTTAAAAATATGAATTTTTATCTTCATTCAACATAAAAAGGATTTTTCAATAAATTTCTCATTAAAAGTTGAATATTTGCATTTTTATTTTATTTCGAGAAAAATTCTAACACATATTGATCAGGTAACAAAAAAATCAATTAATTTACAAGATTTTTTTTCTTCATTATAAATAAAGAAAAAACAACATTGATGTCGATCTGATAATACTAAAAATATATCATACACTTGTCGTTTTATGATCCAAAATTAATTTGACTATTTATAAATGAATAACAAATCAATTCACTATATTATATTATTTTTTCCACTCAATAAATCAGATATTATTTTATTTTGAATATAATTTAAAACATGCACAAATCCTTTCATCTAAGAAAACACTCAACTTTATGCTGTTTCCTATATAGAAAAAAACTCTAGTAATTGCGAATCGATCTATATTCTAATAGATTGACGTAATTGACTCTAAAAAACGTAATTAGACGAATTGAACTCAATAAATCAAGGCATTTCAATATAATTACAGTCCACACAAATTGAAAATATACCCTTCGAGTTTGGAAGACACTGCATCTGATGGTATATTTATATTAAACAATAGATGCAGATTATTCATTTCAGAAATCAAGTTTTGGAAACCAGACACAGGCCTATGGTTTTTACCGTACATGAAGCTGTGTTAGATCTCATATTCCTGCCGAATTTGCAAAAGACTTGCCTTTCCCTCCAGTAAAATTTGTTAAGAACATCTGAAAAATGAGATCTAATACAAATTCATGTATAGTCCCCCTCGGACAAAAAAACCGCTTTTTTTTCATTACTTAATACACTGTATTAAAAACCATATGATGCAACTTGAAAAGAACTACAATTTACTTAAGACCGTTTTTTTATAGTTATCCTCTTTATTTGCAAAGTGGACAAAACTTTGAGTGACCAAATTTCGATCATGCGAAAAAGATGTTTTCTTTTTGTTAGAAGATGAATTCTTTTTTTTTTCTATTTCATCTTTTTATTGCCTGATATTTTTTATTTAAAAAAAAACGAAATATACGTGTGAAAAACTCCACAATCTACATAAGACAGGTACATTTTTTATTTTCAAAATCGACAACATTCTGAGTGATCAGAATTCCACGCTGCGAAAAGTCTTTTTCCAATACATTTTTGTCTTATTTACCACCTGATCTGTTTCATTAGAGGGAACTAAAATACACCACAAAGTACCACGTGAAAAATTCTACAATTTATATGGTAAATCTTATTGTAGTTGTTTTTAAAAAAAAGGAAAAATTCTGTACTAACGATTTTCGCATGGTTTAAATTTGGTCACTCAAAATTTTGTCCATTTTGAAAATATAGAGGACAACTGTAAATAAAAGGCGGTCTTAGGTAAATTGTAGTTCTTTTCAAGCTGCATCTTATGCATGATGATAGCAGGAGGAGAAAAAACGTTTCAAGAGTTTGATTGTTTCATATTGAATATATAGGTAATCTAATAATACCGAACAAAACACATTTTAAAATGTGACATTTATCATTTTTAAAAAAATCTCAGTTAATACTTTGTTAAATAATCGATATTGAAAAAAGAAAGAGATTATATTATGTATCTATTTTTAAAATAAATTGTGTGCTATTCAAAATGATAGTTTTTTTTGTCTTATTCTTTTAATGTTATTCATGTAATGATAATATAAATCTACTTATTATTCAATGAAGATTTCGACTGTCTCAATTAATTATCAAAGATATATATATATTTATCATCGAAATAAATATTTCATGATAAATTATGGTCTTTAGCTGGACTGAGATTTATCACTATTCCTATATTTTATTGGAAAAATGTCACAATATTTGACTGTACCCAAAGGGGAGTACAGAGACCTTCGAACTTTTTATGAAAATATCAGAAGATGAGAAAAATATTATTATTGTTATTACTTAACATTAAGTTATTTGATTCAAAAACAAACCATTGTACGAATGTCAAAGGATCACTTTATTCATACAGCATCTTGCCATTTGATATAAGAACTTGTTATAAATATATTGAGAAACGATACCATAATATATTTTGTTATTGTTATTGCTCTATAACTTTCTCATCTCTAATGAGAATAGGTGTTTATTGAAGGCAAAACATAAATATTTGAGGTACAGGTACCTAGATTTTGGTTTTATTTCCAATTCGTTTAAGAGACGATTTTTGTATGGAGATTTTAAGTTGATATTTGAAAGAAGAAATAAATATTTTATTGTTTTTTTATTGTACATTTAAAGATAATAGATCAACTACACAAATACAATTTTGAAGAGAAAGATCTACAGATACACATATTTTTTGTTTTATGATAAGGAAATATTTGACAAGTTTTATCTTGTTCCATTTTTGAATGTCTAGTGATAGTCGAACTAATATAATATTTGAAAATAAATCCAAGTCATCGAAGAATAAAATGTCGAAGTGATTCATTTAATGATGGTGAAAGTGATGGATGTTCAAGTGTTTGTCTATAAAGACCACCGATTTAAGAAGAACAAAGACGTTTAAGTATTCGATTTCGACCACCTTGTTTTAATTTTAATGGTGTTGAAAGTATGGTTGTTATTATATCAATTTCATCTGTTGCTTTATCAAAATAACTTCCTAAATCTTCCGTAAATAATTCAACAATAAGTTCATGATTTGTTAATGTTAATTGTTCATTGTCATACATAACATGAATTAAATTTCTAAGAATACTACCAGTATAATGTCTATCAAATTCATCATCTTCCATAACTGTATCTTGATAATTTCGATTTGAATTTGTATAAAATTCTGTTAATGATTTAAGTGATGAAAATTTATATTTATGACTTAACATTAATTTTAAAGTCTCTTCTCTATATTCAAATTCATAATCTAAATTATTAAGTAATTTCCAAACAATATCTAATGGTGTATGACCATTTAAATCTAATTGATTTTCTTCAACTTGACCTTCTTCTAATAAAAAAAGAAATAATCTAAAAAGAAAACATTTTAATTGGAAAAAGAAAAAAAAGAAGTTGTTAATCAAACCTCAGTTGAACATTTTCCAGCAACAATATGTAATGCTGTTCGTTTTGTACAAGTTTCTTCTATTTTCATATTAAATAATTGTTTATAATTAAGAATAAGTTTAACTAATTGAATAAAATCTTGTTTAATAGCAATATGAAGTGGATAATGAAACATTCCCATATCTTGTGCAACACGTGAATACATTTCACGCATTTTTATTTTATGTTCATGTTCATTTGATAATAAACTAAAATAATTATCTGTTGCACTTGGTTTATTTGTTTGATTTGGTTTTAAATTCACTAAAGAAAATGTTCATGAAGGTGACGAATAGCATAAGAGAAAGAATAGGTGTGTTGGAAAAATGTCGAAAAGTAGATATGGAAGTAGAAGGATATCCTAAC